AAATTAGGAGACATTTATCCATTATGGAAGAATGAGCTAATTATTAGTCTAGTGACAAAATTATTGGGTGTGACAGATTTATACTCAATCCAACCCATGTCTAATTCTTTCTTTCCTATTAAATGTGGTAACTCGTTTCTGGTTCACTTACCTGACCTCAAACGCACGGCCCATTAATATGGTAAGATCGTCATTCTTAATTTTAAATAGCAAATCTCATTAAGATGAAATCCTATTCAAATAATTTGTTGACAAATCGCTTGAAACATGTAAAAAGAAACTACAACATGATAATGTGTATAAATAAAACAACACAAAAAATTATAACATGAACCTCTATAAGAACATCACACAAAACAATGAAATAATTAACAAATGGAGGATAAGAAATGAACCTTTAAGCAAAAAAAATTTCTTCAGAACTTGATTAATGCAAAAATAAGTCTGAGCCGAGCAAGTACACCAAATCAAGAAAAAATCAGCAGATGAGCAAAAAATCTAGCGACGAACCTTCTAAAATTCGAGCCCGGACCAAAACTCGATTGTACCTCGTGAGGCTGCTGGTTTTTGGCGTGAGAGAGGTGACTATAAATGAAGCTTCACAAGGTGCTTTTAGGCTTGAATTTGAGGCATTTTGGGTCTTAAAGAGGGTGATGAATTGCTTGAATTTTCGAAAGAAAGAGGAAGAAAGAATGAAACGAGTAGAAATTCCCTTAGTGCAGAAGAAGAATCTTTATTTTCTCTCAATTCTCTCCTATTTTTTCCTTCCCTTTCTTTTTATTTTCTCCTTACATTTCTCTTCTATTTATAGAAAAAAAATCGGAATTTTTTTAGATTTGTTTATTATTATTTTATTATTTTTTAATTAAAAAAAATTTTCACTTCCCATTTTTCTTCTTTTTTAAAAAGAATTAATTCCCTACTTTCCTTTACTTTTATTTTTTAAATTTTCCAATTTTTTTACTTTACTTTTTTTTTATTTTTCACTTATTTTACTTTTTTTTAATTTTCACTTATTTTACTTTTCTGTTTTAAATTTTCACTTTCTTTTACTTTTTTTAAAAGAAATTCAGCTACCTTTACTTTTATTTTTTAATTTCATATTTATTTTTATTTTTATTTTTTTAAATTTTCACATTCTTTTACTTTTATTTTTTTAATTTTCTACTTTCTTTTACTTTTTTTAAAAAATAATTTCCATCTACTTTTACTTTTAATTTTTTATTCCATACTTTTAATTTTCCTATTATTTTATTCTCATCCGAAAATTTTAAAAAAAATCGGTTTATTTTATTTTATTTTATTTTAAAATAAAGATAAGAAATAAAAATAATACTAATAGTAATAATTTGACCTTTTAAATTATTTTTAATTCTTACTCTATATAAAAGAAATATAACAAAGCTAAAAAATATATATATTAAATTTCTAAAAATATTTACATAGTAGAAAGTGGTAAAAATTCAAATATAGTCAAAAATTAGGTACTCACAATAATAATAATAATAATAATAATAATAAAAACTTTATATATTTTGTACACAAACACAACCTGCCCTTTCTAAATTCATGTGAATTTCTCTTCATAGTTTTTCACTTCACAAGACCCGTGAAATGATTTAACTTTCAAGATTCAACAAGATAGGAGATATCAAAAGAAAGGGAGTCTCACTAATGAAAATAAATATATAATATACCTCCAAAAATTAATGGAAAAAGGTTGATTTGTTTATCCGCATTGAAAAATCAAAATCGATTGAAATACACTGATATGTCTTTTTTTCTTTCATCTGTTTATATGATTGTCATGAGTAAACTTATAGGAATCACTTAGTTACAAGCAATAAATTATAATGAAAAAATAAAAATTATACAAACTATTAATATTATTAATAATAAAATCAAGCAATAAGGTGAAGGAAGAAAATGGGTTAACTTTCCAGCAAGAAATGAGTCAATTATCCACTTTGGCATTTCAGTCCAACACACACTTCTTAATACTGATCTTGTGTTTTGAGAAGGCCTTGACCTCACTTAATTTTATAAATATATAAATGAACGTGTGGAAGTTTTTGATGGAAATGCATATAATAAAATAAGTTTAAAAAACTATAGTTACAGTCAGCAATGCATTTACAAACTGTTAATTGGTGTTGACTTAGTGTCCGAACAAAATTGGATAATTTACAATCATTAGAAAACCACTCCACTAAATGTACTACTAGAGAATCGATCGACATGTTTTGAATTTAAACAAGAATTAATGATTATTCATTGAACTTGAGGTTCAGAACACTTTTGGGTCAAAAAAATCATCATTAATCAAAAGTTTGTTGAAAGTTAGTAGTTTCGTGATTTAGATAGATAGATTTTTTCTATAAAATCGAATCAAATATGAGAAATTTGATGGAGAGAACACTTTTTAATTTTCATAATTAGTAATTGTCTGGCATTATAGCTTCGTTATGTGTTATCCACTAAAGAAAGTATTGGCTTCACTATTCTGATAAAAGTGCAATTTAGGTGGAGCTTTGGACTGTGATATACAACTCAACAACAACAAATGTTAAACCCTTCTCTTTTCTTCCATTCTGGATTCCTCGACCCTAAAAAATAATTTTAAAAGGATGTTTAGGGAGGATAAAATTCTTAATTTTTAGTTTTAAGAAGCTTCTCTTAGAAATGCACCAAATTCCATTCTTCATTGTTGTCATTATAGTTGTACATGGGTCGGGTTGATTCTGATTTTCTAATTACCAAACCAAACCAATAAAAGTCCGGTTTTTTAATCTCGGCTTTTCTCAGAATTTTCAGGTTTTCGGGTTTTTTCATTTTTTTTTTCCATAAAGTCTTCATAGCACAAAAAGTAAAATTTGTGCTCCAAATATTTCTTTAATCCTAGTAAGACATAACTATATAAGGTATTTTTCAATAAAATAACATAAATATGAGATGAGTCATGGCATTGTACTAAAATATTCAACAATAAAGATAATAAAATAGCATAAAATAAATATTATTAATATGCCATAATGAAAACAAACATAATTTAAAATTATGACTAATAAATACTATTATTTACATGACTAACCACTAAAAGAAAAATAAGTTATACATTTTATTTAAATCATGAAAAAACTAAAAAATAGATATCCAACACTATTTTCATTCATAGTGCAATTGAATTGAATGTCTTTTATTAGCATTAGTATTGATTTGATTTTGGTTTAGGATTTATTTGAGTTACTAATATTTATGGACTATAAAACTTATTGGAGAATCTAAAAATTATAAGCCCAAGCTTGAAATAATACGTTAAAAGATAAAACTAAGAAAAAGCTTAAGAAATATTTGTAAACTACACTGTCGTAAATATTTTTATGAATTAAATATATTTAAAAATTCTATACATATAATATCGGGTTGGTTTTGTTTGGTTTTGGTTTGACTTTTTTTAGTTAAAACCAAACCAAACCAAATATGGTCGGATTGTTTTTTCCAACACCAAACCATAGTTGGATTTTTTTTTCTCGGTTTGACTCGGATTATCGGATTTGTATAATTTGTCGGTTTTATTTGTACACCCGTAGTTATCACGAGCTTATATTAGTATCGTTACTGCATAGAAACTTTTAGTTTGAGAGCTATCTAAGTTGAAAGAGTTCTTAAATTAAAGAATAAGAGAAAGTTAAAAATTTGAGCGAAGTGCATATTTTAACAAGTGATATAATGACTCAACTTAAAAAAAAAAGCTCTTTTTTTATGAGCGAGTTGTCGAAGGGCAGTCAACTACTTAAAGTCATTATTTTAAATTTGCAAATATTTATACATATTATGCCCTTCAATATATGTTCTTGTTAAACTAATGGCTAATTAAACATATATGTAAAGGATTATCAATGAGACAGTTTCTGGTAATATTAACCAAACACAATATATAGTACGTAATCCCCAGTCCACGAATATGCATCTTGAGTCAAATCCATTACATGATTCTCTTCTATCGTGTAATCCACAAAGATAAGTATAGCTTCATGAACTTGGAATTGGATACTCTTTTTTGGCTGTGAAATTAGATTTAGAGATACCAAATGGAAGTCCTTTTAGTCAACTTTGAACTTCTATCATCTTTTCATTACAAAAATCATATATCATTCTATATAATGTTATTATTAGTCTTACACATCTCAAAAGAATCAGTATCTTCTTTTCCTTTTTGTACATTCTATTTATTTATTTATTTATGTAATCAAGGAGGTAGTTAAGAATCATTATCATCATATTTGTGAAGCATTCTATTGTCATCGTTTTTTTATTTATTTGATACCTACACATGGGCGGCAAGGAGCATATGATTACCCTTTTTATCTTTTCATTAGAAGAACCCAACCTTACACTTTTGACGTGCAAATCCTAATAGGATAACTTAAAATATTTAACATTTTTCCACCTTTTTAAAATTATTTAAAAGAGAGAGAGTGAGTGTGTGTACTGTACATAAAATTTAGCCACAATCTGAATTTTTTTGAGAAGCTAGCCACCATCAATGCACAACCTTTTTAGTCTGAAGTTTGGTATAAATACTAGACTGAAATTCAGGTGTAGTAATTCAAATTCTAATTTAAAGTTCTGTTGTTGTAATTCGAATTTCAGACCAAAGACTGACTATGGCTAAATTTGCACTAATTTTTCATTTATGTAGCTTCCTTAAAAGTGGCTGCCTGTGCAAATGCCCAGAACTCCTAGTGAGTGATCAAACCTGCACTAAGGGACGTTCACGCAAACGTTACTGCTACAATGGAATTAAAAACGTTGGTATATAAGTAAAATTATCATCAAAAATATATAAGTGAAATTATGTCTAAATGAAAATAGAAAAAAGTAGGTGTGCAAATTACAAGAAAAGCACATCCCTTAAAAATCTTTATTTGCACCTTTCATGTCTGCAAAGAATGCTCCATTTAATAGTGTATAAAGGATGACAATAAAGGAGACAAACATAACAAACTTTTAATTATTTAAAACACTGTACATAAGATAATAGAAATTTAAGATACATTTCTCTCCAAAAAAAAAGGACTCAACTCTACCTTCTTAGTTCTTCCCCACCCACCCACCTACCCACCATGCTGTTCCGGGTCCGAAGCCCCCCTTTTTCCTCTAAGAAAACAAAAAATAGAAGAAAAATCATTTCCACTCGCCGCAGCACCCTGAATTTACTGGAAATATTGCATTACAACAAATCTCTGATCCTCTACGCGTTAGAGATATCCGATTCCCTAACGTAAATAGGTCATACTACAAGGAAAGATGATGATGATGATGATTTGTTGATGCATTAGGGCTGCTGTAGCATCACAGTAGAGCCGGTGTCCAGTTAAAAGATACTCCATTTTCGTTTTGCCATATGCACATGATATCCGATTTGGCAATGCAGTCGAATGTAGTACTGTTATGCACCTCGAATTGTGTCCACTCTGTCAATGACATCCAAAGCTTTCATCCGGTCAATGTCAAAGTCGATCACTGGAACAGAAGACGGAAAGGGGTCTTTCCTGGTTTCACTTATAATAGGTGAATGGCTACTGCTCTTACTTAGCCTGTGGTACTTGCTCAACCTTGTTTTTTCAGTATCAAATTCTTGAGACTTGCTAATCCCTGGAGTTAGTTTTCTCTTGCTTACATCACGAAGCATTTCTTGGTCTTCAACCGTTAACGGGGAAGATGGAGAGCTTGGTTTGTGGGTAGAGAACTGAATCAACCTTTGATTAGGGGAACGGATTGGAGATCTTACTCCACCATTAGCAGCAATTCTTGACTGACTGACAAGATAATGGAGCCACACTACTAATTCAAGAATAAATCCTTCTGTTTTCTCCTTATCTGCATGATACAGTGTCTCGATTCGAAGAAGATCAACTTGGCTAGCAGGTTTCCTGTTTATTTCGGACCTACAGATATTTTCTTTTTCAATTAGACAAAGTCAAAAGAAGATCCAATCGAATTAAAAGATAAGTCCACAGAGATTTAAGCTCACCCTGTATTTGCCCATTCTCCAACCCATCCGAAGCCATGGTGGGCCCTGAAATTATTTTTGGAAAGAAAAAACAGTGTTATGTACGCGGGGAGATGATTAAACCAAAATATTTTAACGTAATGCATAATCAATTTTGGTCTAATGTGTTCCAAATTTCAGGGGCAGACTTAGCCCCAAGAATGTGAAGCTATAGAAGTTTCAACTTCCTTCCCTATTCGACTTCCACAGCACCATAAATGCGAAACAGAATGGCATTTTTATTTTTTCCCTGAATCTATGTTGTGTTATATTTTCTTTCTTTAAAGAGATGGATAGGATAAACATGAACTGTTTTAGGAATTAGGATTGACTTTGGTAAGAGATCAAAGAAGTGGAGGATAAAAAATAAACCACCTACTTCTTTTTATCATACAAGAGTGGGTGGAAAAGGAGGGAAAGACCTCATCCAACCACTCTTTAGCAGGCCAAACTAGTGCTTGTACTGAAAAGATGTACATATTAGGATACAGATGTCAAATGATACATCTTTATTTTTTGATCGTTTCAAATAATACATCCTTATCAATCACCACTTTGGTATCTTATTGAACAAAAATGGTGATATTGTTCCTCCATTGATCAAGAATTTCGATTTTTGGGAAGTAGCTACTTTTACCCTTTCATGTCTTTTCCTTTAAATAGATCGGCCCAGTTGATATGACATATGCCATCGTTAGAAATCGTTTTCTGTCACTAAGTTCCAAAAGATATTGAGAATGCTTTTGTCTAGGAAACCATCTTTTCAGTCCATGACACTTGTTCCTATTTGAAAACATTGAGAATCATTTTCATTCAGATGAATTGAAGGAAAACAACTTATGTAATGGACAACAACATTCATTTTCAGTCCATTGACACTTGTTCCTATAGGTAAACATTATTTCCATTCCTACTAAATATAATTATCGCCAAACACTAAAGCCATGCCCAACCTCAACCTTCCACATCCAACAACCAGTATTGTATTTCACCAATTTATGCTTAACGAAAAACGAAAATAACTTGGAAAATGATTTTGCCGGGAAAGCATCTTCTGTAAAAAAAAATTACCATCTAAAACATCTTACATCATACCAGCCGTTGTTTGCTTTTCTTTCTTTTGTTCCCAGCATCACATAAGGATAATTTTTTATCAGTCTCACGCAGTTTTATTTTGAATGATCACCTCAAGTTATGTAAAATCTGTAGAAAAGGAAAGATTACCTCCTAACAGCATCCTGCGAATATTAGGAGTCCCAAAAAGATTTTTTTTGATAAAGAAGTCCCAAAAAGAAGTAGCAGAGCAAAAGTCATATTGGGATTAGAACATAGTAACGATCATGCAACCATAGCCAATGAAGAAGTATTGCCATGGACAGAAGTTTTTACTTGGTAGTATTGGTTGCCATGGGTACAAGCCACTGCAATGTTTTCTCCATTTCACCTTTGATTTGCAGGACTGTCAACTGCACAAGGAAATTGTTAACAATTCAATTAACTCGAAGGAAGAAACTTGCAAACCCGTCACAAGCAAAATATAGAATAATCCATCCTCGACATTAGATACGATATAAATCATATAACCATAAGTACCTCTTCCTTGAGTGAGAATGACAGTAATTTGAAACGTAATGCTGACTTTATGCGTGGTGGCAACCCTTGGTATAGAGCATCTCTTGTACTTGGGGGGATTGTCCCTGATCGAGTTACCTGATCATAACAGAGATATCTTAGCTAGTAATGCCAATAGGCGATGTGATTAATAAAGAAATTACAAAATATAACTGTGTAACAATAATCTATGCATGTTTAATAAGCTAGTCGACTAATGTGGCTATGATTTGAAAATGCCGATCAGTTACGCTTCTGTTAGATTGCAAAATATATAATTCCAGCAGTAGACAGATAGTAATGCACGTAAAAATAACAAAAGTTGAGAAACACTTCGAAACGAGGGGATGAAAAGAGGCATCTTCTCACAATAAATACTCACAACATGTTTGTTTTTGTCAAGCTATGAGTATCTTGGCACAAACAATATCATGATGAGCACCATAATATTGACCAGATTTCTTGTATCATATTGTGTAATATTCCAATAACTCTGGATATATTCTTTAGCTAACAATGGAATATTTACTTAAGAGTGTTAGGAGTATCAAATAAACTATTTATTATATACATGGCATAGAACTCCTAAATATAGAGTTCTTTCGGTACATTGTAATCCAATCAGCAGCCAAGTCAATGCCGCGTCAGCAATTTCAGCAAACTAGTTAGCAGTCAGCATCATGTTATCAGTCCAGTCAGAGATACGCCAGCGCCCAGTCAGCTTTAGACCACATCCATTCAAGAGAAAAGAAAAAGAAAAATGACAAAGAACTTTTTACTTGGGCTTTCCAGAGTCCTGAGTCCATTCCTGCAGTCAGATTTGTCAAATTCACTACTAAAGTCAAGTGAAAACCAATTCACTCTTCTTTTCTGATCATAAATGGCAATGGAAAACAAAAATCAGAAAGCACATTTAGGAGATCAGCCAATTGTGGATCTAGTGAAAAATATGGCGGATCCTAAAATATAGGCTAAGTATTTGTCCATCTCTATCACATACCAGTAACTCAAATACATGCCTCAAAAGCTCTTCATTTCTATTTAGGAATCTTAGATCACAGGACTGGTAATAGACATCTGTTCTTTTATTTTTCCAACATTTAGTTACCACCCATAAGTACCCTTACTAATGGCGCCAGAACCATGGACATAGGAGTCACTAAGTTCTCATTACTCCATCTTTGACTCTTAACTACGTCCTATATGTTCCTGAATGCCCATTTAGCCTTATATTATAGGCGAACTTACTCAATTCCTTGACTGTTCATGTAGCTTTACTAATCAATGAGCTCTTGTGCAAGATCAGGTTACAAAACAGCCAATTGGATGAAGGGCGCCAGTCAAGAGGCCTTTATTAGTGGCTGGTTGTGGTTCCACTGCATTTACTAGTGGTGAATCCCATTCTTCATATCCATGGACATCTTGGTCATCACCATCTCTCGTAACTTCGACAGAGACTTTCTAATTTTCCGCCATGTAATCAATAGAAAGCAAGTTGTATAAACTTGGAAAACAAAAATGCGCTACTTCCCCAAAACAAGATAATGGTAGACTATCTACCGCTTTAGAACTTGTCCACCAAAATATATATAACCAAGCCAGTTAGTTCTAGTCTTGGCTTCCATTACTGTTTCACTTGATTGATGATTACTCCCACTGCCCTTGAAAACTTGGTTCTGAGTTGTTTTATATACGTAAGAATTTTATGAGGATGTTATAATCCAATAGGAGTCCCAATTAGTACCTTACAAAGTGACAATACCAAGGAGTACTTTTACAAGTCAATTCAAAGTATCCATATCTTCCCAAGAAAGACTCCATTAGTCATCATCTCATTACACTCTTCAACATAAAAAGGATAGTTGAGCACAAGAACAATCACCTAGTTGGGCTACCGACACATTACTACTTCAGTAATTCACTATAATATTCCTCTTCAATTTTAGATAAAACCAGTTCTTGGTGTTAGCTAATCAACTTGTATGTCTTCGTCGGCTCCAAAATATTAAATTCCTTATTCGGTCAATATCCTAATGAATCTCTGTATAAACTTCCGCATAAAGTTTTTGGGAGTAACCTTTTGTGCATGATGTAACTTCAGGAAAGATAAATCACTGTGATGTCAGTGAAATGTCTTTATGGGTACTCGCAGCTTGCAAAAACTTTAATCTCCCGCGTTAAATTGGTACTTTTGTCTCCGAATATGAACATTCTTTGAGCATTATCATTCATATTTTTATTCTCCACAATTTGACTATTCTCGACCTTCCTCCTTTAGTTACTAGTGAGGTCCCCATTGATAGTACAGTAGATGACTCAATTACTTCATCGCGCGCATTCCAGTCCCAGTCGTGCCTTGCCTCCAATAGATGATCTCATTATCATTGTTCGAAAATGTTTTCACACAATTCGAAACCCTCACCCCCCTATATAACTTCTTAAGTTATCATCTGATGTCTCCATACCAGTATACTTTTTGTGTTGTCAATATTTTCTGTTTCTATTCCACGAGCTACCAAGGCATTAGCTAGTCCAGGGTGAAATGTGCAAATTGATTATGAAATGTGTATCTTGCATTCCAGTGCATGGAAACTAGTATAGTTGCTGGCCGGAAAGTCCACATTTGCGTGTCGATAGGTATACTTGATAAAAATAGGGATTGATGGACAACTTGACCAACTTAAAGCTCGTATTGTAGTTAAAGCATACCCGAAGTTCATAATTGTGGTGATCTCTTCTCTCTTCTTACTATCTATGAACGCATGAATCGGTCTCTTCATTAGGTCTATATCAAAGACACATTTCTCCATAACGAGCTAGAGGAGGAGGTTTATACTTTATATGAAGCAATACCTACTTTGTTGCTCTAAGGGAGTCCAGTCTAGTATGTCAACATCAAACAGTCTCCACGAGTTTGTTTGGACGGTTCACTTATGTAGTTCAACATTTTGTAATAGCTCATGTATGTCGGATTGTTTTCTCATGACACTCTATATCATCGGTGTCTCTATCATGTTCATCCGTGAGTAAAGTCATTAATGAAGATGACCAGAAAGGGTGAGACACTAAAATGAGGTTTCTTCATTCACTTCCAAACTAAAGATTTGGGACAACTTAAGTTTCAGCTCTCTTCTTCGGCAAATGAGACAGTACTTAGATGGCTTGGGGCACTTTGTTTTCAATCGATAAGCAGCAAAATTTATGAAAGCAGGCTTATTTGTTCATGTCTTACCTATTTTAAAAAAAAAAAAACAGGAAACTTCCCAAGATGCAGAATAGCTGGATGTAGATAGTATATCGAATGGAGTCATGGATCTAGCCCGGTATGCATCTGCATACCTAATAATTTCACTATTTCCTCAATCCTCTCATTGAAGTCATGTCTTGGATTATTCTTGATACGTTGAAGGATGTGTACCACTGTATCCTAGCGACTATCATGAGAGGATCTTGCAAAAAGTGACCGACAAAAATAACAACAAATGAGACATCCGGGCATGTGATGGTTAGATAATTCAACTTATCGACCAATCTCTTATAACGACCCAAGCATGTTAAGGGCTCTCCTTGTCTTGGAAGTAGTCGACCTTAAAGTCCACGGGTAGAGTGTACATGGTTCGGTTTAGTTGGTTTTTCCTTTAAAAAAACACCAAGCCAACTATGTCAGTTTGTTAAATATAACCAAATCAGACCAACATAAAGTCGGTTTCCAGTTTTGATTTTTCCAATTTTGTCGGGGGTCTTAGTTTTTTCAAGTTTTTCTCCAATCACGTGAATATTAGGTGTATGTCAATGTGAAGTTTCCTAGCATGCACTGAAATTAAAAAATTTGTCCCACTTTGTATGTAGAACTAATGAACTTAATATCTCACTATAAATATGTCTAGATTACACTTAATTATGAAATGAAACATATTATTTTTCTTTTGAAACTGAAAGTATCTAAAAAAGGATATTTCTTCCCACCTTATATATAGGTGAATTAATAAACAAATACTGAATTTAATGTCACATTATAAATGTATCTAGTTTAGACTTACACATGAAATGATACATATCTTTTGAAACTGAAAGTATCTAAAAAGGATATTTCTTCCCACCTTATATAGAGGTGAATTAATAAATTTAATATTTCATTATAAATGGTTAAACCCAAATCATTTTTGTCGGCATAAAAACATAACTTATTCTCCATTTCAAAATTGAAACCGTTGTGGATTTGTCCGAATCCAACGAAACAACCTAATTTCTTCTTATGGTAAAGGTTAAATTAGGTTAAAGATTAAATTAGGTTAGTCAAACTTTAAGAATTGCTAAATTAGTTTGCTTGCATCTGGTTTTGCCTCTTTTTTTCTTTACAATAAGTCATGGAGGAGTTAAGTCTTCAATGTTACATATGAGATGCATTGATAATGAGCACAAATATTATAGGCCAAAACCCTCATACTTTTTTGTTTTACTTATTTTCATTTATGAACTTAAGATAATCAACATGTTCTTAATCCAGTTCTAAAAATTTTATTTTTACTTTAGTTATGAGTTGCAGAATTCAAAATACATATACAAACATACATCTTATTTATACATATATAGTCAATTTGGTTCGATTTTTTATTCGAATTTTTTTTTCCTGGGGAGGTTTAACCCCAAACCAAACCAGACATTGCCGGGTTTTAAATTAACACTAAACTAAGTCTAGTCAGACCACAAGTCGGTCTTTCATTGGTTTGACTAGGTTTTCCGCTTCAATTTGATTTTTCGGTTTTTCTGTTACACTTCCATCCACGGGTTAGGTTTACAAATGCATATTAGGCTAGATGTTCATCCAATGAAGTAGTTGACCTAAAAATTCATGGGTCAGGTTTAAGAATGCATATTGGGCTAAATCTCATTCAATAGGCAATCTACATTCAAGTGTTATGTTTTGATTAAATGAAACCTACTATCTCAGGGGAGGTTCTACTTCTTTTATAGGTAAGACATTAAGCAATAAGCCTTGCTATCACAATCCCGTGTTTCTCGAAAACTATGCACACGAAACCATCTAACCGAAGTCTCACAGTCTCGCTTCTCAAAGAAGAGAGCCAAGACAAGTCCAAGTCATACGGGATATGAAAAGGTCCTATCCTAAATTCCTAATAAACAAGCAATATGTACAAAGCAAAGATATGGTTGCTAGATCAAGACATAAGCTGAGTATACAGCTATAAGCCTGCGATGAGCTTATATAGTTTAAGCAGTTACTCAAGAAATTTAAAGTTCAGAGAAGTAGCACAAATGAAATAAATATAGAGCATCTAAATCAATATGCGTCGAAAGGACCATTAGACATATTGAGATTCATCCACTTTATCCGCTAAAAATGCAATCCAACTCTAATGACCAACGTAATATATGTGTGGCATGTTCGGAATCTATGATCTGTATGCTCCAACTTGACAGAGAGTTACAATATTGACCAGATTCATTGTACTATGTCTTGTAATATTCCAAAGAATTTTATGCATATAATTTATTTTTAGTAGTAAAATATTTGTTTATCATGCTAGGAGTATGAAGTAACTATCTACCAGAGTATATGTGGTCTAGAACTTCTATATGAGGAGCTCTTCTTATACATTGTCAATTCATACAACACAAATTCTCTCATCTCTTCTCTTGTTCTTCACAATAAGAACACCTCTGGCGCTTACAGTGCGGTAGGTTTGTTATGATGAAATACTAAAAACTCATTTGCACTGTCCAAACTTCTAAAATATGGTTATCACCATACATGTCAATGGAAAATAAATTTGACATCCATTATGATAATGATTCTCCAACATGAGGCCTCTTTGCGGACTATGCACAAGAACCAGAAGTTTTGTGGAAAAATAAAAATAAAAAAATGAAAACTGCATATCTATAACACAACAATGCTTGCAAGTAAGCCCAAACCCAAATTTCTCCGATGATAGTTTAATGAGATCCTCTAAAATTCTCATAATAGACATTGTCAGATCGTGATCTTAGTTGCACTATCCCAATTTCCAATTTACAATAATCGCTACCTTCTATAAGTCCAAAGTAATAGAGAAGATATCATTTGTCATAGTGGCATTGCTTCTAATTGTATTCCAATTGTCAAGCATCAGAGAATCTCAATACTCAAGATTTTTTTTTAAATAGTCAAAGCTGTTTGGGTAAAAACTTCTCATAGGTAACAGAGCAGAAGATGGAATGCTGCAAAGAGAAAGTACGATCTAAACAAGCCCTTGCCTCTAAAATCTGATTCCACAGGATACAATCTCTAACAAACTTAAGATTTCAAGGTCCATCTTGGGAGAACTAAGTTAGCTTGTTATCTACCTTCCCATCTTACTAGGGCTCCTGATTAGAGAAGAACATGGAAATAAGAGGATGGATGCTTCAGTTTAAACCTGGCCAAAATGGAAAACACTTCAATATCCAGACTAGCCAATTGGACAATCAAAAGATTAAATAGAGGCTCGAATGACATCAGCACTTCTAGACATTTGCTAACATCAGTTAAACCCTTCAAATACTTCTCTTTTTTCTCTTCTTGAGAAATATACCTTCTTTCTGTACTTGGCCCCTCGAAGAAGCTGCTCAAACTGTTCCTACCACTATGGAAGATCAATTTAGTCTGTCATTTAGCTTTCCACTCAACTAAACTGAAAAACTGATTACCCAATTCATTCATTGATTCAGTTAACTTTCAGCAATTTAGGTGCAAAAATAATAACTTCTGGAACTTGGTTGAGTCTCTAAGTTGGACCTAGCATCTGAGACTTTCTATGCCACTTTGCCAACCCAGAGAGAAACAGAACATTATGTTCAGCATAAGCCAAAAAGAAGAAGATTCTGACATATATAACCTCTCTTCCAAGCTTTATTGTTTAAATCTGGGAACAGCATGCCAAAGGAGAAACGCGAGGAGGCACAAGTGATAAGACAGGTGAGAAAAAGATGAGGGGATGGATTGAAGACCTGGGAAGGACAGTTTAAGTGGTCATAAGAATTTTTATTTTTATTTTTTGGCGGTTGTGGGGGGGGGG